ATTCAAAATAACGTCAGTCACAGTGCGCGCGTGTGTGTGGGGGGTTCTTGAGGCCCTGCTGTAGATTTTGTATACTGCTGTAGCGTGAACCAGCGATGATGTTACCGGCGCTGGTTGCCTATCGGCACTGCCACGGCGCCCAGTGCAAAGGAGATTCCCTGTTTGTCAGCCGTCTTGCCCGCTCTCCGTTGCTTGCTTATGGTACTGCTTCTGCTGTCGTCGATTTGTCCTCCCCGAAACGCACTAAATTATCCCAAACAACAGGAAATATATGCTCTGCTGTCGTCGATTTGTCCCCCTCGAAACACACTAAATTAACACATACAATAAGGAAATATGTCCAAGCTGGCCCTTCCGCTTTGTTGAGCACCACAGAAATGATCTGCCGGGGTGATGACAGTTTCATTGTTTCGGAATTATTTTGTTGATGCCGTCGTCGTCGTTGCTGCGGTCGTCCTCTTTCGTTGGATCGGATCATCATCTGCTATGTCTCCGCAGCGATCGACGCATCTGCTGCTCCTCAGCTGGCCCCGATGGTTCGACTGGATATTCCGCTTCATCCGACCTCTCCTTTCGGAGTCCACCAAGAGCAAGGTACTTCTTTTTTTTTTTTTTTTGCTAGAGGGTTAAAAATCTGCTTTCAGAGTCCAAGACCAAGGTATTTTCGTTTTTTGTTATTTCTTTTTGAGAGTGTGAAAAGTTGATGTACTTCACATAAGACTTGTCGGGGCAAGCTGTACATCCGACCTGTCGTTTGAGAATCCATCAAAGACCACGTTTTTTTTTTTTTTTTTGAGAATTGAAACTCTGTCGGGAGAAATCTGTGCGAAAGTCTTTCATGCTCAGCGCCTGACGGCAGTTGCAAATGTTTTTCTCGAACCCATGTTTGTGTGTGTGTTCGACGCACTACAAGGAATGCTCTCCAACCCATGTGTTCGTGTATGTGTGTTCGACGCTCTTACAGCATGTCGTCCTGGCACCTGTCTCCCTTGCACTCCTACCCAACCCGGCCCACTGCTCTGGCCTGGTCGTTCGTTTCACTGCTGTATCAGATGACCTCTTGCACGGCGAACAGCGTGTACGAGACGCTTCTGTCGAAGATCGATAACGACCAGATACCCAAGGAGTACGGAGGGGCGTCCGAGTACGCGCTTGGGGAACACCCTTACGAGGCAAGTTTTATGTCTTAATACCACGCTCTTCCTATTCATAGTGTATAATTCATTGTTTCACCTTGTAACCTTATCTATGGGAGGGTGACACGGAGTTTGTGTGGCACTTGCGAGGCTGGATAGTGGAGGTAGGTTTTGAGTGTGTGCGCGGTAAAAGTGGCACGGAGCAAGTTTAAGTCTTCTACCACGCTCTTGTTAGCTTATGGTTCCTAGTTTACTCCGTGTACCGTAAATCTA